TCAAACCATCAACAAGAGATAGAGGGCAAGTGTGGGAGGGCATTACGGCAAGGCTAAATGCCACAGAATTATTCCATGATCGGCTCCGTAACAAGAGAGCAGTCAGGGACAGGTATCAATTACTTTCAAAGAAATTCAAGAACAAAATGGCTGAGGAAGAACGAGCAAGTGGGATATCCCCTGAGATGACAGAAACAGACAAGTTACTGGAACAGATAGTGGAACAGTTTGAGGAAAGTGAAAGAGACGCCGGAGAACAGTCAAAGAAGAATGACCAAAATAAGGAGAATGAAAGGAAAAAGGCAGAAGAGATGAGAAACAGGTCGATGGAGAAGCTGGGGGAGACTCAGAAAAGAAAGGCAACAGCTGAGGATGGGCAACAAACAACACCGAGAAAGAGATCATCAGGATCAGAAACCCTCGTGTATTTGAGGGAAAAGGCAGAACGGGAGTTTGAGCTAAGACAAGAGGAATTAGAAGTAAAAAAGAAAGAACAATCTGTACAACTTCAGATGTTCCAGTATATGCAACAGCAACTGCAGCAACAGCAACAACAACAACAACAGCAAATGCAAGTTCAAATTCAGCAGCAGTAACTGCAAAATCAAATGCTCTTGGCACTTATTGAGAAAATCACCAAGTAAAAAGTGTTCTTTAAGACTCTGTAAGATTTCAAAGTTTCACGTTTATTTAAATCATTCGCATTTTATTATATATATATATATATATATATATATATATATATATATATATATATATATATATATAAACATTTACATTTTTACATGTATGCATATATAACTTAATTATATATTTTTGCCAATTTTATCTTGGCTTTTATGATCTGCTGTGAGCTGTAACAGATTGTGTATAATCCAATGTATCGATCAGCTGAGACATTTAATATTATTCCATCGTACAAAGAGCAAAATAAGACTAACAGTGAGTTAATTGTCTTTTAATTCAAGAAATTTAATGGTTAAGAAAAATGCTTTAAAAATGTATTTATAATTGCTTTTCAGTATTTATAAAGTTAACTTCAGAATTTTTTAAGCATGCCCAAACTTAAATTGTCAAATTCACATGTACAGTGAAAATATATATCAAGTAAAAATTTTGAGCAGGTTCATAAAACTGATAAAAATTTTAAAAAACTGGATTGGTCTGACAATTCTATTGATTATAGGATCCAAAATGGTCCTTCACAAGCCTGTATGAGCCACTGAAATCTTGACAGGGCATGCAACAATGATTAGTTATACCCTCCCCCCCCTCCCTCCTCTGGGCGCATTGACCCATATCTTACAAGAATCTCTAATAACATTTCCTTAAATAAAGTACTGGTCTAATGGAGGCGGTTCAACACCAAAGAAAGAAGAAGTTGTCGACCCATATGTACATGAGTGGGCATTTCTCAACAGGGCACAAATGATATACATTTTTCCTACTGCACTGAGTCCAACCTTAAGATTTCTTTTAAAATCTAAAAACGAAAAGTACTCTAAAATGTCACCAAAAACCCACTCTACTGCTGTTCTTACTTTACTCATCGATTTGTTAAACAGTTGCTGTGGTGCTGTTAGGGCAGCACCCTTAAATGGACCCTGCAGGTGGACCCTCAAGGGGTATGCAGGGTCACCATATAAACATAACGGTTGGCCTGTTAGAGATATACAGTGAGCTTCTAACATTGGCAACAAACCAGACATGGCTAACATTCCGCTGTCGTGTCTGCATCCTTCCACAGGTCCAAAAAGGTTTACGATCAGACCATTTGGTGCAACTACACTTTGAAACTTTATCGCATGCACTCTCTTGTGGCCATTGTACAATACTCTTTGGTTTTCGCCAGGCCTAGCAACTGGTCGTACAGTTCCGTCTATAAATCCCCAACAGTTGTCAAGGGCGGCTCCTTTATTGTAGATAGCTTCTGCAAAATCAACTAGATTTGCTTGTGATAGCCATGGCTGATTAATACCAGAAAACAACTGTCCGAAGCGGGCATAAAGAATATCCATCATCTCAGACACCACCATACATAATTGCGGTACAGGCCTTCCAAATCGGGGAACAAGGTCTTCGTACCTGCATGGAAAGGCAAAACGACGCAGAAGCAAACATAGCGCTTCATCACTGTAAACATAAAAACGATTTGGGCAGGTAATTTTGTCAGGAAGATCCAGAACGTCGAGCAGATTGTAGATAAATCATGTTTTAAGAAACGGAATTCGCTTTTGCATTCGTCGTCGGAAAGAGAGTCCAGATTGAATTTTTCGTACTTCCAGTAAGGAATGTCAAGATTCTTTGAAGTGTTAACGTCGTAGAGTAACAGCATTTCTTCATCGGCGATCAAATCCAAGGCATTAGCAAGCAAAAGAGCCTCTCTTGCCTCCCTGAAGGTGGCCATTTTTCCTTCGGGGCCTGTGCATGTCGCGTTGTATTGCGTAAGGTTTGTTTACGTTTAGGACGGCAACGTCAACCCTCGCGTGCTCGGACCAGTACTCGCGCGGTCCACGGTCGCCGTCCTCATTCTGCCGTCCTGTTGTCGCGCAAAAGTGACACTTGGTAAATTGTAAGATGAAATTCTATAACATATCAGAGGAAAAGAACACTTTTAATTCTCAGTGTGCATTTTGAACCCACTTTTCAGTATGCAGTGTGCATTTCGTACTTAGTATGCATTTTGTACCTGGTCTGCAGTCTGCATTCTGTAGTTTGCATTTTGTCGTGACCACTACGGAGACTGTAGTTTTCGTCGTAGGTATTGTTTGGTGTTGTCACGCAAGAGTATTTAGGGATGAAAGAGCAGTTACGAAGGAGGTTACACATGTTGATTTTGTTGGGAGTGATTACATCACGGGCGACGAGGGGGGGAGAGGAAAAGATAGAAATACGAGCGGTCAGCGGGGAAACAACTCTAATAGATCATATAGAAACATATCGGTTGTAGTTGTGGAAAACGATGTTATAAAGCCGAAATGTCAACAGTATACGTCACTACATGAAATGTTAAGCAATTTTTCCAAAGTGTTGATTGTACAAATATCTTTTGCTGCTGTAATAAACAATGGAGGCATCGGTGGCATCCGGAAGGCACCAAGAAGAATTATATTTACGTTTTGTGACTAGCTGTGTGACGTGCGTGACGAAAAAAGAAAACAAAGCCGTGGTGCCCAAATAATTCTCCCTCCTTGCCCCAAAAAATTTTCAAATTTTTCGCAACTTCGCCTGTTCCTGTTCGTTGGTCCGGCCAAGCCTTTATGGTCATTGGTCTTCGTATAGCCGCTAACTACGGCTTATAAGTACAGGCGTTTTGAGTTAACTTGTAAAACTCCCCGAAGAAGTCTACAACCGTTACACGAAACGCGTCGGAGAGTAAATAAATTTTACAACAACTGTTCGCAGAGTGCTGCCCACCAGTTTAGTTTTAAACATTTTTTTAAAAAAATTAGGTGCGATAGCTATAGCCAGTTTTTCTATGGAAGTTGTCTGGATATACCTTTCGTGCAGACGCTTACAGAATATTTCACCAGTCGTTAGGTTCAGACGATAAGTTTTCATCCCGATTGTATTTGTTCAATTGAATAGGAAAAAAACACTTCGAACGGAAACAGAATTATTTTGACGTCTGCATCTCTTGAAAAAAGGTCTCGTAAATGAGTGGCCTTGATTATAGATGTATAAACACATAGGCCTTAACTTGGCTGTTTCTTAAAGCTTAGTGTTTTCCTACGTGCCTTTTTTCACGTGGAATGAAACGATTGAATATACAGGACAAACAATAAAAGACCTACCTACAGCAGACGGAAATTTGAAATTTCCTATCTTCGGCTGTGGATACAAACAAATTTTTGTAGAGTTGCTTAGCTTTTAATTTTTCCGGAATCGAAAGTGGAAATTGCAAAATTCAAGTGAAAAGCAAGCCTACTGTGATTAACGCCTTAAACAAGTCAAAATACTTTTTTTCAGCAAGTTACATATTGTAAATATCATTCTTGTTGATGCCTCTCCCGGTGTCACCGATCTCTTTTCCGATACCTCCGTTGGTTAATATAGCAGTAAAAATATTGTTGCAGGCAAAGCGTTTGGAAAGTTGCTTTACTTTTTAAGTAGCAAAGTATAACTCAGTAACATTTTGGGTTTACAGCACGATTGTTTTCTGCAAGCTACAAAACGTAAATATAACTGTTGTTGGTGTTTTTCCAAATGCCACCGATGCCTTTTCCGATGCGTTCATTCTTTATTACGGCAGTAAAAGATGTATGTACAATCAACACTTTTGAAACATTGGTTAACATTTTATTTCGCGAAGTATACTGTTAACATATCCGATTAAAAAAAGAACATGATAGGTATTAGTTAACTAAATAAACTAACTTTGAATGAAGATGGTTTGCGGAGAATAAATAACAGAATATACGTTGAAGTTGGGGGACAAAATAGTGTGACATCTGATGCTTTAGGATACCTTGTTCGAAGATTAGAGATAGCTATTAAGCGTAAGAAACTAGATAGTTGTAAGTTAAATGTCAATGAAAAATTGTTTATTTCATCGAATGTCAAAACAATTGTTTGCGAATTCATCGCAGCAAAGTAACGCAACAATTTTGGAATGTTGGTAACGCTTGAAATGAAGTTCGTTTATTGACGTCATAGTTGAAATCTTTTTTCAGGGAGTGACAGCATCTCTTGGATGTGAAAACTGTACCTTCTTTATGATGTTTGATGTGTTACTGTAGGAAACTGTTAAATTCTTCGTGTTGAAAATTGCTTCGTAAAGTTCTTCTACGGATGCGTCTAATGTTAGTTTAGCGTCAGACTGATGGAGGATTTCCTCGATTATTGGGGTGAAGGCCTTTAACCAGATAAGTTCGTACTTTGAATTTCTTATAGCGATGCGTACGGAGGCGCTAGTAGCGCAAGAGGAGATGGGTTGTACTGCATTACAGTTGGAGCACTTGATGATGGTGGATGTTTCGGTTAGCGTGGCCTTTTCCGTCGTTGAATGGTGACATTTATTACAGGAAAGCCAAGTTTGGAATGCTTCAGCGAGAGTTACCCTGTCAACAAATATGACGTCAATGTCGAAGAGGCTTTGAAAGAGCTGGGCGCTGGGAGGATTAAAGTGTTCTTCTAGTGGAGTAAGAGTAGTCGACGGGGTAGTTGTGAGGTACTTGGCATTGTCGTATGTTTTTATGCGTACTTGGGTAACGGAGTAAGATTTGTGGTTGGATGCTTGTTGGATAAGATCACCCCACAGTGTCAGGCGGATGGTACGCGTACTGTCAGTAATGGTGCAACGATTTAACATGGGAACAAGAAATCCGTCCTTCATGATGACTTCTCGCACAGAGTCTGCGTCCAGTGTAATTATCCCCCTGACAGAGGCTAAATGATTTTGGGGGAGGATTTGTATTTCTGTAATAGCCGTGAATGAGGTTTGCGGTTGCTGCGATGTGGTAGTGTCATATTCAAACGGAACGTCGCTTAAAGCGGCTGGTTCGATGCGAGATCTTTTGCCCAGGATTAGATGTTGTTCTTCTGCATCGAAGATACTGGGCTTTTCTTTGATGTTAATGATATGAGCAGGTTTTTT